GCTGGAAATATCAAGGTAATTAGTACTAGTCCTACCCATGAAGCCTATTACTATTACTAATTCTTTTTTTTTTTTTGAATTACTATGACAAAAGTCCAATAGTCTAAGGCTCTTATTTCTTAGTCTTAAAACCATAACGAATAATCATTCCCTTTAAATCCTTCTCATTCTAATGGAAATTTTTTCTTGAAAAAATAAAGACGAAGGAAATGACTCACACAACTATGCAAAATTTAGGTGAATTTTCCATTTTAACTACTCGTGCGAATTATTGATTGTTTGAGTCCCTGTTATTATGCCATTTTAATGGTTTCTTCAAGTTTTAGAAGAGGAAGGATAGCAAAAAAGTCCAACGAGTACTTGTGAGGCTGAAAATAGAGAATTCTCCGTCCAAGAGGAAATAGAAGGACTATTAAGCATAACTGACTAGGATTTGTCTTTTTGTAGTTCATTTGGCTTGTAACATATGCAGTGGTGGAGCCAAGAATTTTGAGTAGGAGGGGAGGCAAAACTATAGGTGTAGAAAAATTTTTGTGTGTAATTTGAAAATATTAAATATTATGTCAAGTTTTCTGTTTCTTGAATTAATGCCTCAGTCTTGCTATTTAATTGCAATTTGAACTAAAATATGTTTTAAAAAATAGTTCTATAACAATAGATTGTTTATGATCACAATGATCTTAATAAAACAGTAGAGAAATCGAGTCCTCGAAACACAATTTATAAGAATATTTGAGTTACTGTAACAAATTTATACAACTACTCACATCTCTAACTTTTAACGTACATTTTAGTTTAAAATTGTAAGTTCTAGTTCAAAGTACACAACCGCAATAGCTAATAAGCACCAAATGTTCATTATTACATGTTCATAAAGAGAAGTTTTTGGGAAACAATCTATATGACCTTAAAAAGATAATATGTGATACTAAAATAATAAGAATTTAAATTTTATAGATCGACTAATTAGATAGCAGACCAAAATTTTTTGAAGGAAGTTAAGATTTTTTTTCAAGGACAAAGCTAGGTTGTTTTCTGATTGGTTGTTTTTGTTGTGTGTTTGGGGGGGGGGGGGGGGGGGGTGGGGGTGGAGATTGGTCTTTCTGGGGTTAAATGATTTTGCCACAACTTGGGGTGGGGCTGCCCCTGCTGGCCCCCTTGTTGCTCCTCCCTCAATACATAAACATATATAGCCTTGACATGTGAAATGCAACACAGAGATTTTTGCCATCTGAGTTTGGTACTGATCCCGCAAGAATGGGCGATGCTATGGAGCCAGGAAGGGTCACGTTTGATGATAAAATGGTGGTAAGAAAAGCTATTGAAGAAGCTGGGATTCCTTTCACGTATGTTTCGGCCAATTGCTTTGCAGGATACTTTATTGGAGGTCTTTGCCAACCTGGTAAAATTCTGCCATCAAAGGATTCTGTACTCCTCCTTGGAGATGGAAACCAAAAAGGTACTCAACTCGTACTATATGTAGAACATCATGAATCAATTTTCCCACAATTGGACTTGTGTCTGAACTCTAAAATTAAAGTAGATACGTTGGAGAAGTTGTGGAATTTTGACGTAGGTAGTACACATTGAAGGTTAATCTATGCTAGCTAGAAGAGCCAAAATGTTGACTAGGTTTTGCTTTAGTTCCAAGTTTGAACTAAAACTTAGACAGCAGTCTCAAAAATTTGCAGCGTAAGTTTCTCATAATCTTGTTAACTAAGAGCTATATTCGACCCTTTCAAATGGTATAGAGGCCATTTGACAGAAAATCTGAAGTAACAAGGACTCCTTACCATTCGAAAATTTTACATGGTAAAATTATGGCATACCTTGCTTATTACTGCTTGAATGAAGAACATTGTATATGTATGTTAATGTGGTAAAATTTAAAATGAATTATCCTAAAATGTCAAGCTAAAGATTAATCATTAATTAAAAGCCAAATTTATAGATTTATTTATTTATTTTTAAGTAAAACTGCTAGTTGAAAGAATTATGTGAAAGTTCAGAGTTTGGGGCCAAGGCAAATGCAAGTAAATTATTTATTAGGTATTTGCTGCAATTACTTTTTCTAGGTTTATGGACTTCTCTTGCAAGTTTCATTTTAAGTTCATGATTTTCCTGTGTTACTTTTGATTCTTGCCGTAGGGTGCAATTATGCCAGTCTCTCTTTTCTATTTCCTCTTCTACCATTTCTATTATTGATGTCTTTGTTCCCTTCTAATTGTTTGCTGGTTTCTCTATTCTGGTACCACTGTCTTTTTCTTGCAGCAATTTATGTTGATGAAGACGACATAGCCACCTACACAATCAAAACCATAGATGATCCAAGGACACTGAACAAAACACTTTACCTAAGGCCACCTCAAAACATACTTTCACAAAGAGAGGTGGTTCAATTATGGGAAAAGCTAATAGGGAAAGAACTGAAAAAGTCATCCATAGGCAAGGAAGAATTTTTGGCTTCCATCAAAGGTACTTAAAATGATTTATTGTCATAATCACGGAAAATTTATCATTTTAATTTTAATTGCATTACAATTAAGCTCAATAATCTGTTTTAATAAACAAATCAGAGTCTATGCTTAACCCCCTACCATTTCTAGGTGATTTTTTTTTATTTTCATTAAAAAAAAAAGCTCAGTAATTTGTTTATTACAGTTTTCTATTTACTTTTTTTCTATCCCTAAAGTTCAGCTTTTATATCTCCTTTTGTCTATAATCTTGTCAACACAACTTGAAATTATAATTGAAAATTTTCCAACAATTCGGAGTTTAACATAAATGAAAAATGTCGTGAAACTTAGGATCAAATTAATGGAATTTGACGAGAATGATAATTATTGTAGATCTGTAATCACAACAAGTCTCCAAAAAAGTTAAAGTACTTATATAATATAACATGGAAAATGTAACGGATTGAAAATAATAGTTGCAAGCATGTGGCAATCTTATTTCTCTTGATTAAAATTTAGAAGATATTAAGGGCCACCAAATTTCCTTGTTTCAATTTCGTGCATTAATCATTGAACTACTATCGCGATTTGTTATAATAGTTTCAAGTTTTCTATAGATTATTATGGAACTCCATTGTGATTTCTAGCAGTTTTGCCATTTTTTTCAGTAGATTCACACTTCGCATGGCTCATTCAAGTTATTAATTACCATTGGACTTCCTTCTTCTTGTTTACATTTTCCTCTGGAGCAGGACTTGATTATGCGGAGCAAGTTGGATTAACTCATTATTATCACGTCTGCTATGAAGGATGTCTTACAAATTTTGAGATAGGAGATGAAGGGGAAGAGGCATCCAAATTGTATCCTGAAGTAAAGTACACCACAATTGAGGACTACCTCAAGCAATATGTGTGATTGAAGCAATAATTATAGGGTTCCAACAAAATTTTACGTAATTTAAGGGTGGATGATAATGTTTAAAATTTATTGTGGGTCAACCTCTCTAATTTATGTGCTTACCCTCTACCTTTATGGCTAATTAAAGTTTGGTCCCAAATGTTTGGGGACTCGTCCCTAAAATTTCTACTAAAATAATTGTCATTTTGTAAAGTTCTCAATTTCGATCAAAGTTGGACAATTGATGTATTTTCCCGAAATACAAGCTAAATAAGTCGCGTGCAAGCCGTGTGGCTATTAGCACAAAGACTAATATCTGCCTCTGATTTGGTCCGGTCCTTTGTTAATTTTTTTACCCTTTGTTAATTTAAGTGATATAATAATTTGGATTAATTTTATATACACTGTCAATGTATACACTAACAAAAATAAATGCATGTTACTTAATTCGAATTTGAATTTAAACCTTAACTTTGTACATGTGACATGCATCTATACCTACTAATTTATATACTATCAATGTACACAAACAAGTCTGTGTATACACTAGCGTAAATAGATGCATGTCACTTAATTCGAATTTGAATTTAAACCTTAACTTTGTATACGTGACATGCATCTATACCTACTAATTTATATACCATCAGCATATACAAACAAAGATTTCGTTGCTTGATTATAATATATACAACACACCATTCTGCTTGTTTTTAGTTTAAGTACATCATTAAGAAGCACAGAAATTAAAAAATGAGAAGGAGATACAAACTAAACACGTCTTGTGTCTAGAGATCAACCCAAAGCATGCGTTGACAAAATATTAGTAATGTTTGTCCAATTGAATTTTTTTTAAAATAAGATTATAACGAGATATTCTTTATGTAATGGACATGGGGCAATATTTTAAAATTGATAAATAGATAAGTGTCCATGTCCATTCAACCCCTAGCATGATATATCAATACCTTGATTTCCCTTAAAGGTTGATTGATACATCATACATTCATATACTTCTTGAAATTCGTTAATTCATTTATGCAACTTCTAAATTCATACACTTTTATTAATAAAGATACATGTAGCTATGGCGTTGTCTCGCCTATAAAGGATTTAGAAACCTCATTGTACTTTTACCAATAAATAAATAAAAGAAAGAGTAAATTGCAAACATAGTCGCTAAATTAGTGATAATCCTCGTTTTAATCACTAAATTTTTTATTTAGCTAAAATGGTTACCCAACTACTAGAATATCGTATTTTTTGTCACGCAACTAATAAAAACATAATTTTTTGTCACTCAACTAATGAAGGCGTACACCTTTTTGTTCAAAAAATATATGTTTCGATAAGTTGAGTGACTAGTTTAGCTAAAGAAAAAGTTCAACAAGCAACATTAAAAATTATAAAGAGATTAATAATCAATAACATCGTTTATTCTAAAAGAAATATTATCTCTACTCCACTCTCTCTTTGCTTTATAGTTTTATTAGTATTGAATTTAAAATACAAATCACTGCCACTATAGATATATTATTACATTCACAACAAAAACAAATTTAATGGGAAACCTCTTGGTAATAACTTTTGCAAGAAAAAAACAGGGAAAAATAAACAAAAGAATAAATTCACTTTGGGCTTAGACGCTGGCTGCCTTGTGGCTGGTTTCCAATTTCAAAATGCCGTTATCCACTTCCCCAACGGCTCCTGCTCTTCCATTCTCATCTCCTTCTCATTCAAAACCAAAGGTTATGATTGCCAATTCTAATTGGGCCACCGATAACAGTTGATCAGTTATTCCAAAATTAATAAATAATTAATAAACGACTATAATTATTATCCTCCAAAACTCCATTCAAGCCAAAATGATTCTTGATGCAAAATTTCACTTTCTACTTTTTAAACAGCGCATTAGTAATGCTTAGAATTATTATTTTTATTTCAATTAGTGTACCCTTTTGGTTGTTTGTATGATTTCTTGAAAATAATTGCAGGGTTCTTCTCAGAGATGGTTTTCGATAAAGAAAGAAGTGACTGTCTGCAGTGGAAGAATTAATTTTAACAGGAAATCAAGAAATGGTGATTTTGCAATAAATTCAGCATCTAGAGACAGCAGTCCATCGGTTGGATTTGATGTACAATTTCCCAAGGATTATGCTGAACTTCTTCAACAAGTGAGTTTCTGATAGTCTTTTCCCTATTTGGAGTACTAGGATTTTTTGAATTTAGATGCTTTCTTTAGTTCTTTTCATTCTTTGTGAATATGATTTCAGTTTTTATTTTGAACTTCGAAATGTGAAGAAAAAAGAAAATGGGAAATGGGTTCTTTGGTAATTTAGTTGTTGATCAAGAGAAGAAAATTAAGCATTTAGTTTTTGAATTGTAATTTAAGTGTTATTGCAAGAACAATCAAAGTCAATTTGTTCTGTTCTCTCTGGATATTGCCTTCAGTTTCTTGTTTGGTCTCAGAAATATAAACGAATAAATGTTTTTTGATAAATAAAGCGTGAAGGGGAGAAGAAAACCAGAGAAATTAATGAACGGCACTATTGCTTGTGTTCTAAATGTTCAATTCGTGGTGGTCCGTAATTATGTACAATTCATGTTTTAGATCAGCTTAGTTTCCCATTATTCCTTCAAGTCATGATCCAAGAAAAGGATTTTTTTTTTTTTTAAGGTGCAAAGATTTAGCAAAGTCTTGTTGATGAGAAGTGAATTGAGCTTGGAATCTTAGTAAGCTATGACCATACTCATTGAATGGTTAGATGAGTTCCTCTAACTCTTCATCCGGTAGTAGATGTTTGTAGTTTTTTATGCAAATGAAACTTTAAAGAAGTAGTTCCTTCCTCGTGGTACAGTATGATTTAGAGGTTACAAGGATGAGATCATTATTGATGAAGCCAAACTCTTTGTGGCTGGTACTGTGACTGAAAAAATTTTCATGCATTGCGATATTTTACTTGTTTGTGCATCTTTGTTAGGGCTCTGATCTTAACTACCATTTATCCTTGTAAAGGTACTTTACCACTAAGACATCTATCTGTTTCTCACAAGAATACTTGATACAAAGGCTCAAAATCAATAGATAAGTGAAAAATGAAAGCTCAACTTGAGTTATGTATGACCAAGGCACCATAATAGACTGAAACTATGGATTGTTCTTGTTGTTCTACCTTCCCGAAACTGACGACTGTCACATTTTGTCACAGCTGTTTATTGGATGCATAATTTGAAATGCAAGTCTTCCCTTGAGTTTTCAATCACACCTATCTTTATTTAGTCAGGAACCAAATGTAATTATTGCTGTTTAAGTCTTTATGCCATTTACACACCCCATGGGGATGGTTCAGAAGGTTCTTGGCCAACATTTAATCCACATATCTTGATATTGAACTAGATTCTTTTTTTCTAAGGGATATACATGCATTTTTTCGTGAAGAATTTACAAGTGGATGCTACATAATCTTAATTACAGTGGGAAGAGGAGGTTATTTGGTAAAAAGAACAATTATAATAAACACATTAACAATCTGTACATTTCTTATTCAAGTTGAGTTAAACTTGGCATGGTGGGTGTCGGTGGCTGGAGCCCCTTTTTGCTTACTTTAGAAAAAATTTAACAATCTCAACCTTCATTTTAGTTTCTCTTTGTAGATCATATTGTTTTCCTGCAGTCATGATGATATATGCACATCTAATCTGTAAAACTACATTCTCTTGATTTCAAGGAATAAGGCAATCAGAATTCTTGTTAAGGCTTCTAAAAGTTTTTATTTGCATACTATTTCATTTTTCTGATTGGACAAATATAAACTTGTGAAAGTAGTATTACGGTAAATTTATCAGAAAGGTATTCTCTGCATTTCTGATATACTTTTTAGCAGGTATTTACATTTACTTTCCTAGTTAAGGCAGCTTAATATGGAACATAAAGTTCAACTAGACCCTTGCTCATCTTTGCTAGAGATACTATGAATTGCTCTCTGGAATGCTCTACCTAGTTAGTTTCCTTTGTTGATGCAGGCTTCTGATTGCCATTTCTAACTGAGTACGTCCAAAAGCTTTTCAGGCTTGTCTTAATGCATAATAAATCCACTGTTTCCACTAAGCAGTTGTTTGTATGATTAGGTTCCTCTTTAGTATGATTAAATATGGCATAAATTAGGTTTCAATAGGGGAAATAGGTGGACTATACTTCCCATATCAAATCCTGAATTTGGTCATTTGACATCACTATGTTTGAATAAAGTTTAGCCACGACCATTAAATTGACTGGAAACTGTTTCCATTCTGCAGTTGATTTAATCCAACTCAAATAGTTTTCTTTTTTTAGTGGCTTTACAGGAGGGATATGTCTTCTTACATTCTTTTCTTTTCATCATTTTTCGATCTTTTATCACCATTCTGCAGTTTAATCCAAGGGCCTTTATAAATGACAGGCTAAAGAGGCAACTGAATTAGCTGTGAAGGACAACAGGCAGCTCATGGTGAGTTGCTATATAAATTTTTTCGTAATGATAATGGGCATGAAGGAACCTCTACAGTTTGCATAGTTTGTGAGCAACAAGTTTCTGACACAGGAAATTGAATTTCCTACTGCTGGATTGGGATCTGTGCCAGGTTATACCATCCTTTGCTGTTTACTTAATTTTCATCTATGAAACCACTTATTATCATTTTCTGTCAATTGCTACATCCCATGTTATTACATGTTCCATAAAATTCATAACAATTGTCAAAATCATGTCTGTATCAGGTGATGGTGAAGGGGGTATAGAAATGACCGAAAGTATGGAACTAATCCGTGAGTTCTGTGACCTCTTCATAACTCCTGAGAAAGCCACAAGAACCAGAATAGTATGGTTTGAACTTTAACAAATATTTGCGCAATTTCAGTTTCAAAGTAGTTAATGACACTCATATTTCCTATATGTATACTTAGATTTCATAGAGCAAATTTTTAAGTTATTTTGTATTTTGTGTATCAAATTGAAATGAAAAAAATAATTGTTATTGACCTGATGGATCTTCACGTTTCTTTAGAGGTGCAGTTGTACTTGCAATTTGTCGTATAGTAATTGGAGTATGGAATCAGCTCCATGGAGACAAATTGATTAGAAGGTGGTTAAGATGGTTTTGGACATTGGTTAATGCGTTTCTTGGAAACGTGTTGGGCTGCAGTTAGAGGAAGACTGAAAATCAAAAAAATCAAAGTGATAGGGAAGACTAAGCAGCAAATAAACCAAAATTAGCTCTGAAATGGGTTTGAATGAAGAAACAGTTACGTAATTAACTTCCTGTTTTAGGGAACATGGCCTTTTGGAGCATCTCCTTTATGATCAACTTTTGAAATATCATTTTAGCCAGCAGATATTATGCCAAACTTGTTTTGAATTCACTTAAAGATGGAATGCTGTATTTTTCTTGAATAAGCCATCTTCTTGTTTATTTAATTTTGTGTCTGGTTTCTCAACTTTGTCTTACATTCTTATACTAAACAGTTCTTCCCAGAGGCTAAGGAAGTTCAATTTGCAAGAAATTCAGTTTTTGGGGGAGTCTCATTTAAGTTGGATTATCTGACAAAGCCGTCATTTTTTGAGGACTTTGGTTTTGTTGAAAAAGTTAAGATGGCTGACCGAGTTAAGCCAGAAGATGAGGTTTTCTTAGTTGCTTATCCATACTTTAATGTCAGTGGTAAGAAGACTTATGTTTCATTTTATTTTCATGGCTTAAAGTTTACTCTTTTCGATTTTTTTCCCACTTGACGTAATTTCAACTGTATGCCCTTTATCTTGTGAAATACAGAAATGCTTGTGGTCGAAGAACTGTACGAAGAGGCCGTAGTAAGCACCTCTCGGAAACTGATCATATTTAATGGAGAACTTGACCGGATAAGATCAGGATGTATCCTTGTTTATTCATGTTTAGTTAACTAGTAGTGTAGGATGTTAGTTCTTGTACGATTTTGTGTTCTATACTTCATGATAGACAGTTACAATTCATAGACTGCTGATATTTATGATGCTAAAGCAGAAAGTTCTGAAAATCTTAAAACATTTTATTGTATCTTCAAAACAAATAACCTTTATTCTGATTCAAATTATTAGAAAATTTTGGAGAATTAGGAGCTTCTGCTAGTAGGTTGTTGATTTCAAATAGTTCGACAGCATCTCACTGGCTTCACTCATAGAGAATTTCTCCTTGAACAAGAAAAGATTATCCACCGTTCTTCTATCCAAAGCTGGCTGCACTTAACAAGACTCTTTTGCCCAAAATGGAGACTGTATACTACATTCACAATTTTAAAGGACACAAAGGGGGAGTCCTATTCAGGTTCTGATATTTTCTGTATTCTTTTCTCAACTTTTACAAGATAAGTTTTCGAGTTAAAATATCAGGGATGCAGATTTGGAAGATTATTGCTTCTGTCGAAAAAAAAATTAAATGAAGTTACAAGCTGTCCCTCTATTTCGCTCTCTATAAACTACTTTGATCAACCACAGGTGCTACCCTGGCCCATGGAAAGTGCTTAGGAGAACAAGAAAGGGATATATTTGCTTGCATCAGCAGGATTTGATGCCATCCCTCAAGGAAGTGGCATTAGACATCCTTCCATCAGCTTAATATCTCCTTGTTAAACCATTAGGTAAGGTTTTTGCTACTAATTTGTTTCTCTACTTAATCAGAAATTAAATCACTAATACCCCCATCTGGATATTTCCTGTTTTGCTTTTCTTTACTGGTTTTATGCGATTATCAATGTTGCAAATCTGGACTTCCAGAAAGATTATTCTAGTATCCTTTATTGTCAATTAAGAGTTGAGATAGCTATGGCCTTTCCCAGCTAATATTCTGCTGTATTCATTTCCTTGGGAGAAAAGAAGAGTTAAAGCTCTACCTACTTCTGATGCATATAGCATCTTGTCTCTGGAATATAAGACGTAAAATATTTTACTAGCTACACCAACGAGTCAATGAGAAGTTCCCTGTAAAAATCTTTGGTTGTTGTTATCAATGTTAGGCTGTAAAAATCTTTCCTTCTTCTTCTTCTCTCTAGGTAGTTCTGGTTTCAGTGAACACAGAGGTGATTCAGAACTAGAGCACCATTTAGCTTTTATGCAAGTTGTCAATTGTCATACAACAGGTACGTTGTTGGTTTTTCATTTTGATAGTTGATTTTCTCTACAAGAAAGACTTTTCTGAATTGATAGTGCTGTTCACTGTTGTCTATTGCTACACCAATGAGTGTATTTTTTTTTTTTTTTTCCTTCTAAGTAGTTACACTGAGAAGGAATTCTTGTGCTCCTTCTAAGTAGTTACACAGAGCACCGATGGAGTAAGCGTGTGTATGATGAAAACTTCAATGTCAGTTCTGTGAATACTGTCATGTACTGTTTCCAGCAATATTTGGCCTGCAGCTTGTTCAGTCTAATCTGTACATAACTTCTTTTTTTTGTTTTGTTTTTTTTGGTTGTCAAAATGCGCTTCCTGCCTATGTGTGTGTGTGCCTCCATTTATCTGATTTACCGTCTAGGAATGGTGTGATTTTTTTTTTTTTTTGGTTACCATCTTGTTATTTAACATTTTGACATTGAGGAGGAGCAAGTGGCTAGGATTGAAAAGCGAATCAAGCTGCTCGATACTCAAATCGAGTTCTGCTCAATTACGAGTTTGTTTGAATTTGATTCACTAACTAATCAAATCAAATTGTGACGATATTTTTTATTTTATAAACTTTTGAGTTCAACTCCATTAGCATAAAAGTAAAATTTTACATATAAAATATTCAAATTACTCGATCTCAAACTCAATAAAAGTTTGTTCGAATTTGGTTCGAAAAATAAACAAGTCAAATTTAAACAAAATAATCAACCAAACTTAAATAGAAGAATATTTGGTTTGTTTATATTCGTTTACACTCTTACTAGTGGCAAGATTCAATTAGTATCCTATTCATGAATATGCAATTTATTTTGGCCCCATGATGGCCTACACATCTTAATATCTTATCTCCAAGTTTGATATTCTTCATTGTTCACATCCTCTGAGGCATCATTCACCATTCTTTACAAATTCCTTTCTGCATTCAGTGCTAAAGCTCTCACGACTCTCAAATATCAGAACCAATCTAAACGCATGACAACAACTAAAGAGATTTTTATTGTTACATTTTCTGGTTGTGGTCACCTTTTCCCTTGCATAGAACCATACAAACACCTCTCCTCTAGAAACTTCAAGGCCACCCTTGTACTCCCTTCCAACCTCTCCTCCTCCGCTCCCTCCCCCTTCAACCACCACCCCCTCCTCATCACAGCCGACCCTTCTCTAGACACAACATGGCCCAAGAGCAAGTGGGCCTGGACCTTGAGGCCCACTTGAGTAGTAGGTCCACTGGCCCAGATTCAGCCCATCTAGTGTGAGTCATAATTGACTTTCGAATGGGCTTGATCAAACATATCTTTCGGAAGCATGGTGACCCTGTTGTCAGCCTCTTTACTTTCGGCCCGTGTTCAGCCGCCATGGAGTGGGGTGCGTGGAAGTCCCAGGCTAAAGCAAGTTGCCGGGGTGAAGTGCATACCATCCCTGGCTTACCAAAGGAAATGCCTCTTACATACTGTGATTTCACACGCCATCCTAATGTGCTTCGGGTACTGGCGGTTCACCTAGACCGGGTGATCAACCACCGTGGGTGCCATTAATGGAAGGTTCGATTGCTTTGATGGTCAACACGTGTGATGGTCTGGAGCATCCATTTATCGATTATGTGGCTAATCAAACGGCCATGCCGACATTTACCATGGGGCCACTCCTGCATGCGAAATTTTGGGTGCCACCCTAGGGGTGCAAATGAACCGAGCTGCTCCCGAGCAGCTCGGTCAAAGTTCGACTCAAGCTCGGTCAATACCGAACTTGAGTCGAGTTCGAGCGGTTCATTTATAACACGAGTCGAGTTCGAGTCATCTGTATGAAGGCTCGCGAGCTATGTGGAATTACATAAATACCCCTACTTAACAAGGCATACCATCAAAATTTCCATCAATAATACGGCTAGAATCATTATAGTTTTCATACGTTTTTGGTCTTTGTAATGGTGACTTCTAAAATGGTGTTGTAATGATGTATTGTAATGATGACTTCTAAAATGACTGGGATCACACTTTTTTGGTCTTTGTATTTCTCGGTGAAAATTCTTGCAAAAGACATCAACAAGGCTAGTTCATGTCTTTAAAGTTTATGCTTACTTTCTCCATCACACCAAGACTTTCGGTGAAAGTTCTTGCAAAAGTTTATGCTTACTTTCAACCTGCAATTTTGTTACTTACCAAGCCCAACGGTGTTGAAAAAAAATTACTCTTATTTGTTGTTTGAAATTTAGGCACAAGCACAATATGGCTATGTCTCCTCAAGATATTTCTTCACAACTAGTTAGATCGGCAGTTGATTCTGCTGGAAATAACAATGAGGAGGAGCTAGAATATTCTATTGGAAATGAAGAACTAGGAAGTGAAGAAGAGCGGTTAGAATGTGATACACAAGCCCCGGCTCAAACTTCGAATCAAGAGGTTGGTCAAGGTGATGATCTAGATAATTTTAGAAGGAGATTTTATTACCTATACCTTGAGACTCTTCATGTTTTTAGGTAATCTATATTGGTTGCTGGAGGACTTAATCTCGAGTGATTTCAAACTATTTGTTCCTTGTTTTTGAGTTTGTTTGAGGTGTTGGACCTTTGAATTGAAAAATTGTGAAACAATTATGTATGTGGAGTTGTGGACATTTGTTTCTGATTTCGTGCATGTATTATTGGACAATGAAGAACTTGTTTGTTGTTACTTTTAATTCATGTTTGGAATTGTTAAATTCAAGTTTGCAAGGCATTGAATAGCTTAAAACGTGCTATTGGAGTCAGGTTAAATAAAACTGGTTATGTTTAGTGACAGGAATTTTTTAGCTGAATTCGAGCCATTTCGAGCTTTTGTCGAGTTGAGTAGATCGAGACTTATCGAGTCGAACTCGAGCCAGCTTCTTACTTAGTCGAGTCAAGCTTGAGCTCAATTTTCTCGAACTCGACGAGTTCGAACTCGAGCTCGAGCTTGTGTGTATAGTAGTCGAGCCTGACTCGATAAGTTCAATGTTCGACTCGGCTCGGCTCGTTTGCACCCCTATACCACTAGGGATGGCAACGGGGCGGGGTTGGGGCGGGGGACCCCTCCCCCGTCCCCCGCCCCGTTGCCTATTAGTTCCCCCCGTCCCCCGCCCCGTCCCCCGCCTCCTGCTCCCCCCGCCCCGCCCCGCCTTGCCCCGCTTCCCCCGCGGGTGCCCCCGCGGGGTTAATAAAATTTTATTATATAATTTTATTATAATTAAATTTTAATAAATAATCAAGTACTAAAATATTAACACATCACCAAATTATTATTCATTGTAATTTTACAATTGAAACTCATAAAAACAATCAAACATAAGTTATTTGAATACAATCCAATATGATGAAATAAATATAACTAAAATAGTCAAGTTTTCACTTTTAGTACAAATGCAATCACTAATTCATTATTGTGTTTGTGCTTTTTTTTGAGAAAAAAGTGTTATTCTATTAAGTGTAATTAGAAATTTAGTATAAATGTATTAGTAAATTTAGTATAACTAATTAATAAATTCTATTAGTAGACATGTAGAATTATTCATATAATTGATAATATCAATTATATTACATAAACTAATATACATTATATAATACATCTAACTAATAATATCATTATCATAAGTTTATAACTAATTAACTTACATATTATATATAATTATATATATATATATATATATATATATTTTTTTTTTTTGCGGGGGGCGGGGCGGGGGATGGGGCGGGGGTATACTCCCCGCCCCCCGCCCCGTTTCTAAGCGGGGGGAAAAAATTCCCCCCCGCCCCAACCCCCGCCCCGAGAGCCCCCCGCGGGCACCCGCCCCCATTGCCATCCCTATATACCACCCAAGTCATTAATTAGTGAAACCCAAATTAGACAGCCCAAGCACCAAAGCAACTATAGTGAAGAGCAAGTAGTGCACTGGTTGGATACAAAATTGAACAAATCTGTCCTATATGTAGCCTTTAACAGTGAAGTGGATCCTACATAAGAGGAATATACCCAGTTAGCATGGGCTTTAGAAAGTTGACCCACTCTTTCATTTGGGCCATTGATCCGGGCCGAGTTCAGGCCACCCAAATGTGGAAGGCAAATTTGGTGATGGGGGCTTGATCAGAAGAGGATGGGCACCCCAACTATTGATATTAAGCCGTCCATCAATAGGTGGATTTTTATCAGATTGTGGTGGAACTCAACACTTGAGCCCGTCTGCATAGGGGTGCCCATATTGGCATATGGCCCATTAGGGGCGATCAAATTTTGAACGCTAAATTAATGGGCATGGTGAAGATTATGAGTGATGAAGAGGTTCACAAAAATGCAGCAATTCTTTGTTCTAAATTTTGTTATGGTTTTCCAAGTAGCTCCAATTTTGCATATGATGCTTTTACGAATTTTATTGAACAAAGTTTAGTTGAAAATTAGTTGAAGCCACTGGCGAATACCTTTATTGTTCAACTGTATGATAAGTCTTTTGCTGATATTTCCTATGTTAAATCATTTTCTTGCAATGAATTTTTTAGTTCTTTCTTGATAAGCATTAAGCAGACGACCACGAGTTTGGCTTGATTAGAATCTGTTGAAAATTTATTTTTAAACTAACCAAACAAAGTCTAAACCAAAAATTTATAGTGCAATACATTTTAAGATCAACTCTAGTAAATTCTTGTTTAAGTTTTGCTTGATTAATAATCAAGCTGAATTCTTATTATATTTTAAGTTTTGTTAAATAATCCATCCAAACTTGAACATTATAATGTCAGCATTGGAGATTTCTTATTTTCTTAAGCCCCATCAATATATATACTTACAGTGAACGAAAGATTAATTCATTAATTCATAAATAAATGGCATGTCACATTTCTTGTGGATTTGCCTCTCCAAATTGGCTAGAGGGACCTCTGACCTATGTGAGACTTAGGGCGGTGTAGTTGTAGTTTAGTTTAATAAAAGATGGTATAATTGAAGCCATTGAGAGACTAATGAGTGACGAAGAATTGAATGAGAGAACAAAAGCACTGCGCAACAAAGTTTTTAAGCATGGTTTCCCTGCTAGTTCTCTGGCTGCTTTTAAAGGTTTAAGAGATTTCATTAGCCAAATTGTGTCTTAATTAGATATGTCATGAATCAAACGGTAATAATATATACATTATCAGTGTATATAAAATTACTCTAAATTAAATAGGTATTTTGCTTTAGAATGCATGAAAAACAAAGTTATATTAGTAACCTTTTGAAATAATCTGAGTATGGACCCTGGGTCAATTTCGGTTGTCGAATAAATGGATTTTATTCTTCTTCAGATTTAATTCAGTATGAAGTTGTACTATCAGTTGTTTCATTAAGTGGTAACTCTACCTATTCAAAATAAAATAAAAACACACACAAAGTGACTCTTAAGTGTTTGTACATGCAAGGCAAACTTTTGGCGTTATATATTTGGATTACCAAAAATATATTAAATATGTTATTGTACACTTAATCATATAAGTGAGTCCTTAGGGGAGAGATGAGTTGGATGGTTTGAAGAGAAGAGATATAAGTGAAAGGTTTCAGATCCGAACCCTCTCACTTACACATTTAATTTTTTTTTTTTTTTAAAAAGAGAGTTCCAAAGGTGGGGAAGAAGGGATGGATTGGATGGTTCGAAAAGAAAGGGTATAAATGAGAAGTTCCGGATTCGAATCCTCCTACTCAAAATATTAAAAAAAAAAACTGAGTCCAGAATCCAGATTACACAAAATTGCTAGCCCACTTGGCACCATTTTGGTCGAAAATATTGCGTTTGTTAGTAGGGCTATATAAAACTCATGTGTATGTATAAAATTTATAAAATAATGCATAAAATCTATATCTATACATATTGCAATGTAACAAATTAATGTTATACATCATTATAAAATAATACATAAAATTAAACATATACCATATATAATTATGCATTAATTGTGAACTTGGAGTAAACCTAATATAGACCCAAAACTCTAATATATTTGTGAGTTGAATATGAACATTAGAATATAAGTTTAAAACCCGAAATTCAAAATTTCGAAAATCTTTTTTTCTTTTGTGAGTTTTTGCCAAAACTCGACTCATAAAGCCCAATTGAAAGTCGTACTTGTTAGCTGTTATTCATATCAATCATCAAGCCAATGCCAAATCTCGTGACTTTGAAATTTCCTATAATATGGTTAATCAGTCATCCTATCAGATTCCAAACCATACTTAACAAGGAAAGGTATATTTGTCACTCCAAACCATGATATCTACAAAGAAAACTTTGATCCTTCTTGTTTTTTATCGAAATCGATAAATAACCCACACACACCCACCTAATTTAAACAGACGCAAGAGTTAATCGAAGAACGGTTCGAAAGCAATTTAAGAGGAACCACGAAGAACTACTATTCGGCCAATTGATTTAAGCCAATTGGTAAGGTTCCTTCTTGGACACAGTTTTTTATCAAAGTTGTTGCCGGACGTCTTTGTCTCAATTGAATGCAGCAAGTGCAAGATCGTGTATAGATCCTGTTGAGTGTTGACCAAAACAACAATCATTTCCCTTGCCCTCACTCCTTTACTCATGACGTGTGCGCTTACCCAACATTCCGTTGTTTTATTACTTAGCTGTGTGTAGCATATGTGAATACCCTACAACGACTAATGCCAATTTAATTTGGATCCTCGCTGTGTCAATTTTTGCTTCCCAGCTAAGGTGTTGTTTTAATTGCTATTTTTTTAAGTTTTTATAAAAATTGTATTGTAATAATTTGATATATATGAAGAAAAAAAATGATTGAAAAATATACTCAGGAAAAATTTTAAAATTTTTCTTAAAAAAAAAAAAAGCAATCCAATTAAGGCCTAAGACTCTCGGATTGTCTTGTATCCAAGAAAGGCGGAGTCTCCCAATAATATTGGACTGGTTACTTGAAAACCAAAATAGAGAGCTGTAAAACTTATTATGATAAACCACGGTCTAAAGTATAATGACTAATGGCTGTCTGGACTTCTGTGTTTTTCTTAATAGAAAAATTTTCTATTTCAATGGGTTTTTAATTGTCTGCAACAGGAAAAATTGTCCATAAGCCTTAAGACCGATTTTTACCTCCCTTATCCTCCTTTCTTTTAAAAAAAACTTATCAAATTAACAACATCCCTAGCCATGGAAAAATAAAAAGGGGTGGTACACACTTATGTTTACATCAGTGACAATAAAATCTCCCGCATTACACTTTCTCTTTTTTAAAGTGATAAATTCAAAAAATAAAATAATAGAAGAGGGTATCGTACGTACCGATTATGAAGTCTATCAATTTAATAAAAGAGGAATTAGAATATGAATTAATCTTTCTAACACTGATAGTGTATATACGGTTAGCGATGAATGAGTAACAACTATACAAATTTTGAATTACGTTTACATATATGTCATACGTTTACATATATGTCATGTATCTAACGGTAATAATGGATACAGTGTCAATATATATAAGATTTTGTATATGATATAAGTAAAGAAACTTTTAATCACTTAAACCACATCGTATTCTCAAGTTGATTCTATTCCATCTGTAATTTAATATATCAATCCCCTCTTCACAGTTGGCATTTGT